AAATGTACCCATGGTGAGAGACATCTTGCAAAAACATTAAACAATCTTTCCTACTCCAAACTTTTTAATTAATTATTATAATTTTACTGTTTTTAGACATTACATCACAACAGCATCAAGTGACAGGATCCTAAATACAGTATGTTCTTTGTTTTGATTGTGCCTAGCAGGACATCAGCTACATGCTTTCTGCCGTCCACCATCACTCACTGTAAAGCATGCTGGCACGTCAGCCCATAATTCCTGTTGAAATGTCATCTCATCCATCTCCAGACACTGTCCTGACAACCCCTCACTGTCAGCCCTTCTTTCAGACCAGCCGTGTTTCCCATCGTGGTGACTCCGGCACAGACTGAAGGAGAGTAATGGAGGAGTGTTTGTCTGCAGGACTCCTGCTGCTTTGCAGATTGAAATGCTGATGTGCTGAGCAGTCCGTCCTGTTATTTGACTGCTGATGGATCATGATTATCCACTGGGCCGATGTTCATTACACCTGTTAGAGAGACAGGAAGCAACAGATTGGAAGAGTGAGGCAACATGTACATTTTATTCAGTGTTCTTCTCGTTTTGTGGAAGGAAATGCCTGTCCGACACATCTGGGGTCTGACTAGGCACAGGGATTTCAAACTTTTTAATGATAAGTACCTTAAAGATGATGATGAAGAAGAAAGTTAGCTACATAGACCATTTATACTGCGTGAGAAAAAGAGTGCTATTATAAACACAACATGCTATTTACAAAATATATTTTTTTAACTAAATATATTTTGCCATGCTGAAGCCAAAGCAAAATTATGAAAAATAAAATAAAACTAGTAATAAAAAAAGATATATATAAAAAGATATATATATATATATTCAGAGCTTATAATTTGTAAATAAATAATTGCTGGACTCAAAACAGCAATTAAAAGGCGCTGTGACCGACACTGGCTATACGTTTTCCCGGAGCATTCAATTATGTCACTAAACGGTGATGCCACAACTGAGCATCGTTCACTAGTTTCTGCATGGACCTAACTAGCCTAGGGCACAGGTTTTCAAGCCCTGGGACAAAATGGGATGCTTTAAGGAAAATGCATAGCCTATGTAAGTAATAGGCCTAAAACAAAAATAACAATTTGTTTTCATTAAAAAAAAAAAGCGAAATATATCTGACTTAAATTAAGCTAACAGATTTAAAACTGAAGTGTGGCGTGGTGCTCCATAAACAAGTTCACGGAAAGGAAAGGATGACAACGCACATTCTGTTTTCACTAGTTTCTGCATGGACCTAACTAGCCTAGGGCACAGGTTTTCAAGCCCTGGGACAAAATGGGATGCTTTAAGGAAAATGCATAGCCTATGTAAGTAATAGGCCTAAAACAAAAATAACAATTTGTTTTCATTAAAAAAAAAAAGCGAAATATATCTGACTTAAATTAAGCTAACATCTTTTCCGTCTATATGCGAATGCGTGTAAAGTACAAGCCTAGTTTACATTATAAATAATAGTTTAACATTCAAATACATTGCGAATATGGAAACATTTGTATTTGTGCTGAATGAGACATGAGTAATAACCTCCAAATACATCTAGCCAAACCCGCGCTCACTCCGTCTTACATCTAGCCAAACACTCGCTCGCTCCGTCTCGTATGCACGCAAGCATGCACTGTCACGATCTAATGTACTGTAAATGCCGGATTTTTAAAAACAAATAGGCCTACTGGAACGCAAAAATTTTAAATCTGACATTTTCTGGAACAGGATCCAGCAGGATCAAATTAAGTACTGGTCATAATACTCACATAAAAATGTTTCATGTTAGCACCACTGTGTTTTGCTGCAGCAGCGCCGATGGAAGCGGTTCACTGACTACGCAGCACAGCCACATGCGCCACAGTTACATTTGGGATCATTTTATTTTAAATGCCATAATGTCAGTTGAAAACATTGCAATTGTGTTTTAAAATACAACAACGAGCACCACGAAACCATTTAAAGAGGCG